TATAGTGAGTGACTTTAATGTTTCACACACAGAAACTAGTGGCTTTTATTTCATTTAATCAGAACTCCATGACTATTAGTATAGCATGATGACCATTTTAATTTTGCTAGTTCTTCAGTATGTTAATACTTCATGTATAAGAATGCCTTGGGATTGATTTAAAACCAAGTACAATGACTAGTGTGAACATAAAGTAAAGGACAAAGTGGTCCACAAGATAAATATTAAGGATATTGGCTGTAGAACAAAGCCCTTGTCATAAAGAATAAAGCAAGCCAAAGTAAACATTTGGCAGAGATTTAATTTTGACTGAGCAATTTTAATTATATTCTCTTAGATAAGATTGCTGATTATGTAAAGCTTTGGGAATTCCCAAGATTGCCCAAAATATTTATCTGTTGGGAATACACACAATTTATTTTTCATTTCATGTCTAAAGGTAGTTGTAGTACATATAATCAGCCAGTAACTGTACCAACATGTCCATTGTGTACACAGTTCTAGAATGAAACAAAGTAACCATCTACTGACTGTGATTTCTCAAGATGAGAATAAGGCTTTCTGCAATGAGTTGTCATTAATACAACAAAATGCATAGTTGTGGATTTTTAAAATTTATTATTATTTTCTGGTGTGTGAATGTGTGCTAGATCTGGGATTTGAACTCTGTCTTGTGCTGTTGCTTGCCATTTTTGCTGAAGGCTGGTGCTCTACGACTTGAGTAATACCTCCCCTTAGGGATTTTTGCTGATTAATTGGAGACAAGAGACTCTTGCATTTGTCTTCACAGACTGGCTTCCAACCAAAATCTTAAAGATCTCAGCCTCCTGAGTAGCTAAGATCACAGGCTTGAGCCACCAGTGCCTGAGAGTTTTAGTTACTTTTAAATGATAAACTGTGGCTATTTGTGATTAATCAATATCAGCGAAGAAAACTCATTTCCACTTCTATACTTTATGATGGTTTGCATCTCAGAATCCTTGAAGTAATAACAGCCAATGACTGGCAGGAAGGGTTTGATTTTTTTTAAAACATGAGATATTTTCAGCTGACCAAATTTTGAAAGCTTACTCTAATAAAAGGAGGCTCATAGGAATGGTCCAAGAGGGTCACTATATTCAATGTACTTATGTGAATATGGAACCAGATAAATTGAGGGGATGGGTGGGGTTGGAAGAGTTAGGGGAGAACAGTGGGAGGGTGACACTGATTAGATGCACTGTACTCCTAACGTGGCATGCTGACTTGAAAGCCTTGCTAATAAATGGTTTGCTACATTGACTGAGTTGTCATGGGGATGTATAGTGAGTGTTCTGTGCTGGCCATTTTTAAGCAGAGGTTAAAACCTGTCAGGCATATTTTATACGGGGAGAGGAAAACCCACAGTAAATCAACAGTAAATGGCCATTGAAAATATGAGCATCTGTAAACCTAATTTGTTCTCTGTTCTCATCTCATTTATGAAGCGGGAAACCTGCTGTGGCAGTAGATTGGGTTAAGTATGATATTGATGGTTGAGTGCTGATGGGGAAGTTTAACCCATTCCTCTTTTTTTTCTTTAATAGCACTTTTAATCTTGGTGGTTGTGGTTGTGTTCATGGCAATGTTACTGTGCCCTTTTTGTAAAAGGCAGGAATATAAGGGGGTCTTCTGGAAGGCGATGATTCAATCTGCCAGTATGGAACACCTGCTGGGAGCTAGCTTCAGAAGCAAAGGGCAGAGTGTGAGAACTCATCATGTTGCTATGCCCTTGTTTTATTCTTCTGTCCTTTGATCTCTGCAGCCCTATAGCCCTAACAACAGACAGTTCATGCAGAGGTAGGAAGTGCTAACCAATTAGAAACAAATAACCCAAGGTTACTCTCAAAAATAGTCCATTATATCATAAACTCAAAATAGATCCCCCATGGAAAAAGCATATCAGTTGAATAAGCACTGTGCTTTTTAAATCATTTATGGCTGAATTGAGGCTAGTGTAGGCTACTACCTGGGACTCAACCAAACTCTGGCAAGTATTATACACTTTTGTTTAAGGAATGAGGTTAGCCACATAGCTATGCTAGTACACTACTAGATTATCTGCTCAATTGAATCTTACAAAGAAGCACTCATTTTTGTAATCCTAGTTACTCAGGAGGCTGAGATCTGAGGATAGCAGTTCCAAGTGAGCCCAAGGAGAAAAGTCCCCATGAGACTCTTATCTCCAATAAATTACTCAGAAAAACCAGAAGTAGCACTGTGGCTTAAGTGGTAGAGCTCTAGCCTTGAACACAAAGAGTCTCAGGGACAGTACCTAGGTCCTGAGTTCAAGCCCCAGGACTGGCAAAAACAAACAAACAAAAAACAGAGTCCATCATTACTACCTTGAGGAATAAGTAGGACCCTTTTCTTGATCATGTTACTTTATGACCCCTTTTCTGTTTCAGATATTAGGATTTTGCTATGTGTTATGGCATCTCAGCATATCTGACCACGCAAAAGGCTGCATCGCTGCATGACTGACATATTATAGCTTTACATGTAGGTTGAACATGTCTGTGTTCTAATGTCTGGTGTTTCTTTGGTTAGTGAAAGGGCATCAAACTTAAAGTTAATTATTCCCCTAAACATTCTGTGCATTTTTAGTCATTTCTTCTTGACAGTGACCACTTGAGCATGTTGACAGTGAAACAGTTGTCATTCTAATCACATGTCACATGTTACTGTTTCTTTGTACACAGTCCATCTTGGCAATTGACAACTGTCATGAAGGCCAGGGCTATACCTGTCCCTAGCATTTGAGACCACATGAGCAATTTCAGGCTTAAAACTCCTTTCTTGTCTTCAGACACTACTTAAAAGTTAGCATGAAATAAAAATTGCCCAGAGAATTTACCAAGAGAGAAAATTTTCAGGCCCCCAAAATGCTTGATTTACAGGTGCCATGCACAACGCTGACCCCCAAACATGAAATAAACTATCACTCAAACCAGACTTCATTTGCACCATTCTAATTTATACTTTAAGAGATATCGAGCTCTTGTTTCCATTACCTGGAATTCATTTTGATAAATATTGTGTTAGATGATCAGATGCACATAGGTATTGTGCCTTTGTGTTCCCTTCCTAAGAATATCCTTCTTTGGTCTACTGTGTGTGAATAAGGTTTTTTCTTTTGTTACTATTTTTTTTTTAATTCTTTTTCATTCCCTTTTGTCTTGTTTGTTCATTAATCTCTCTTTAGGAGGGTAAAGTGGAGAACATAAATGTGGAGACAAAGGGTGAACAAATGTAGCAGTGATACTTGCTAGATACTATGTTGAAAATGATCTATACAACTTGTAGTGGATGGGACAGGGAGGGAAAAACTGGAGAGAATTGAGGGCGGGGAGTGACATTGGTCAAGAAGAAATGTACTCTTTATCTCTCTATGTGCCTATAACCATAACCCCACTGCATATCACCTTTACAATAACAACAAAATTGCGTTAATAGAAAAGAGAAATATTGAGCTCTTTGGTTAGCATTATATATGGGTTGCTTGATTGCATTTTGAGTTAGCAGCAATAACCCAATATAAGACTGTGTTAAAGAAGCTCTTGCTCTACTCAAGGTGTTTGCAGTGTTGAACATAAGTCTGATAAACACTTCACCAAGAGTATTGTTTTTGGGAAAAGACAGTAGGGTCTTCTACTTGTGTAAGGGCGCTACCTTGTAACATCTGTGGGACTAAAGTCATCATTCCTCCAGGGGTCCAATGCTACAAGAACTGAGGCCCAGAGGACACAATCCAGCTGTTGCTGTAGCTTCTATGGGGTGAAGGCACAATGTGGTTCTTTCTTCTCCTCTCTGATGGAATGGATTAATACAAAAAGCTTGACAGAACTTTTCAGTTGTTTAACTTATAGTGACAGTTTTCCTCCTCCCCCCACCCCAAATACTCCTTTAATTGAAAAGGATTTTGGATTTTATTAACTCTTTGCATTTTGCATAGCTTTCTAGACCTTCGCTAGGTCGCTTGAGCATCTAAAAGCAAATGATAGTCAATTGACCCTTCTTTATATATGAAGTGCAGCATTTTCATGGACTCTTCATATTTAGTCATCAGAACAAAATTTCTTGAAGTGTAATAAGCCAAGGCTGAAATCTTTAAATGGGCCACGTTTGGGGCGGGGGGAAGGGGAAGAAAGGGAAAGAAAATTCACCCTGTAAATGAAAAAGTGACTTGGAGGTCATCTCTTTTTGACCAATATTGGTGCAATTAGGCCTGTGTGCAATTGAAGTTGCTATTCTCAAAAAATGAAATATTGAACTGAGGTCGTCATTGCACATTCAGAGAAATTCAAAGAGAAGAGATGGCTCTGTATTTCAAATATTATTGATGCTATTGGCTTAGACATCTCCCCATTATTGGGTCTGTTTTGCAAGCCTAAATTTGAGCCTGAAGATTTTCTCCACATAAATGTCTTAGATATTGCAAGGGCAGATCCATCACCTGTTTTTTGTTGTTGTTGTTTTGTTTTTGTTTTTATTTTTTGCTTTGGAATTACAAAAATAACCTTAAGGTACAAGCCTTAGACTGGGCACTGTTGATGCATACACAGAGAGAACGAGACTCCCTAGTGATGAGATCAACCAGTACCCAAGAGGAAAGTAATAGGCAGAAAGGATAGAGTTGATGGAAAAATTGATTCTTTTCCATTAAACTGTACGTGATGTGTTTTTTATGAAACAAGCATCAGCTGAAGGAGAAATATTTCAACTGAAAAAAGAGATTGATGGTGAGGGAGAGGGAAAGGATTCTAGGGGGATGGGGGGGGACAGATTTGTGTCTTACCTCATTACCATCTCAAGTAATGAGAAAGTGGAAAAGCAATCTGTAGCATCACCACACATGTTTACTCAGACCTGGTGACATTAAACGTTTTTAATGTTAATAATGGCTCCTTTTTGTTTTTCTTAAGTACCTGTAGGCTTCGCACACCTTTCTCAATCCTAAAACTTGTCTTGTTCATTTTCAGGTTGGCCAAAGATGCAGGTCATTAGGAACTACACTGGAGCCCCGCCTCCACCTCTTCATGAAGGACCCCCATTGCATATCCAGGCTGGAGATACTGTAGAACTTCTGAGAGGAGATGCTCACAGTCTGTTTTGGCAGGTAGTACCCAGGTTATAATTTCTAGGGATTTAGTGGCTGATTAGTTACCTCATGAAGAATGAAGTTCTTGTTTTTAGAAACTGACAGCGTGCTTTCAGCTTGAGACATCTTACTTGACATAGCAGGATTCTTTCTGATTCAGTTTCCCCGTATTTTCCAATGCCAGAGTAGCAGTGAGCATTAAATTAGTATCAATGCTATGAGTCATAATTAACATTTTTATTAAAAATTCATACTTTGCCAGAGCTTTTTTTTCTAAGCCTAGTACCTATGGGTCTGATTAATTTGCATAGCTTTAATATATTAAGAGTTCACTTCAGGGAAAACTACCTTAATTAGCTTACCAGTGGTCATTACTGGCCAGAGTTGATTAGGGTGGAGCTTCCTGAAGTTTCCCTGGACATAATTCAGGAAATGTATGAAATGTAAAATGAAAATGATTATGTTGATGCCTGCTGGTGATAAAAATCTCTATTGACTCGTAAGACTACATCTGGTTTAAAGATTTTGTCCATGCACAGGGTTATCGTGTTAAAATTCAATGCAGTTAGATAGTAGAACATTATAGTTTACTAACTTCTGTTTTCTTGCATATTAGAAACATTTGCCAAAAAAGTTAAATGATATGTTAAATGTCTATTGTACATTGACAGGAAGAGGGGTGAGGGTCAACTGGAGGATTAGTATGTGAATAAAATCGGGTTGGGGAAAAGGGAGAGATAGCAGAGTAGCAGTTGTTGGTCAGTATCCCACTGCATACACGTGTAAGTGATATTTATTTTGTTTGCTTGGAACTAGTTTTACTGCCTACCATCTTATTACATAGAATGCTTCTGGATCAGTATTTATTCCAGCCATATTTCATCTAGTTTAGCCAATGACTTTTCCAAAGCCCCAATGTTTTTTAATACATATTTTTTATTGTAAAGATACTGTACAGAGGGGTTACAGTTACATGAACAAGGTCATGAGTCCATTTCCTATGGAGCATTGTTACACCGTCCTTTAATTTTCCCCTACCATCCATTTCCTCCTATCTCCCCAACTTCTCTCTTCCCTCTCACCCCCGCCCCACAAAGTTGTAAAATTCGTTTTCAACATACTGTCTTGTACATCTCATTGTTACAATGGGTCAACCTGTATCCTTATTTGAGCATTTTGTTATTTCCCTTCCCCTCCCCAGATTAGAAAAATGTATATACAAGATGCAGGACACCGGAATCAGATACAGTGACAACAGGGGTTGTACCAGGCCCCAATGTTTTTATGAAGTATCCTCCTTCTGCACCCCATCCTGCCTTCAAAGGAAGGGAAACAAAAAGCAGATTACACTGTATTCGCTCTTGCATCCTTCAGCTTAACCACAGAGCATATCTGCATTTGAACTTGTAGTGTTCCTCATATCTAAGATGTAACTTCCTTTTTGGATTTTCATTCTTGAATTTTAAACTTATCCTCTCTATTGGCATATTTTCTGTAGCATATAAATTATGTACAAGCTCTTCTCTCAAATTCTTTTTTAGAATTTTATTTAGCATACCCATAAAACGTGTATCCTTTGTTTTATATGGCTTTCACACATCATTTTCTTGAGACTTAGCCTTATTTCTGTTTGTCGTTGTTTATATCATGTGTTTATTATTCTACTTAGCATAATTATTTGTTTATCCATTAGCTAACTGATAAACTTCCAGGTTGATGCTTCTTAGTGACGATTACAAAAAAAAAAACTTTGGTGAACATTTAAGTATAAGTTTTTGTATGGATAGAGGCAGTCATTTTTTTCAGTAAATACCCGGGAGAAAAGAAATAGATTAAATATAAATAATATATTATTAAATATTAGAGATTTTCAGCTTATATTTTTATTCTCAGAATAGTATTACACATAGACCAGACATTTTTCTTTCTTTTTCTTTATTAATGGATTTTTTGGTGCTGGTTCTGGGGCTTGAACTCAGGGCCAAGGCACTGTCCTTGAGCTTTTGTGCTCAAGGTGAGTGCTCTACTACTAGACCCACAGCTCTACTTCTGGTTTTTTTGGTAGTTTATTGGAGATGAGTCTCACAGAATTTCCTGCCCAGGTTGACTTTGAACCACAGAATCAGATCTCAGCCTCCAGAATAGCTAAGATTATAGGCCTGTGCCACTAGCACCCAGCTCAAAAATTTGTATTTCAATATAATCTAGTTCATTAATTGGTTGAGTTTTTTTTTTGGAGCATGTTATTATGAGTATCATATCTAAGAAATTGGCCTCTACCAAAGCCTCAAAGACATTTCTTGTGTTTTCTCCCAGAAGTTTTATGATTTTCAGTTTACATTTAGGTTTCATTTCAAGTTATGTTTGTGTGTGCTTTGAGTGATGTTTATTTTTGCACATATGGGCAACCAGAAAGTGAAGCATTTGTTGGAAAGTCAATTCTAATGTAGTGGGTTGCTTTGTACTCTTGTAATAGATGAATTGTCAATTTTCGTTTGTTTGTTCCAGTACCAGGGCTTGAATGCGAAGCTTTTTGTTCTCACTTGGCTTCTCCCCTTAAGTATGGGACTCTACCACACCTCTACTTCTGGCTTTTTTGGTGGTAAATCAGAAACAAGAGTCTCAGAAATAAGATCTATGCCTCCTAAATAGCTCGGAACTAGTGCTGGGAAAATTGTCCATTTTTGTGTAATTTTTGTTGTATTCTCGATGATTTCTTTCTCCATTCCTCTACCGGTCTGAGGCAGTCTTGCTAATAACAATAGTTAATAATGCTTCAAATCAGGTTTGGTCCTAACATTTCTTCTTTTCAAAGACATTTCTGGCTTTTCCTAGGCCTTTGCCTTTAATGTGATCTATGGTATCATTCTGTCAGTTTCACAAATTGTGAAATTATGCATTAATTGTAGTGATTTGCACATTAATATGGGAGATTGACAGCATTGGGTCTTTTGATCATTTAGCTTAATGGTCCCTATTTATTTAGGTCATAGTCAGCCAGGATTTTTAGTTGTCAGAGTTACCGTTGTTATACAGTTCTTGTCATTTTTATAATATTTTTATTATTATTTCACCTTTCACTTTGATGCAATTAACAATAGTAACATTCCATTGCTATTGTTCATTGCTAATACATAAACTATATTAGAATTTTGTAGATTGATCTTTTATCGTGCAATTCCCGTTAAGCTCAATTATTCTTGAATATTTTCTCCTCCATTCCCAGCCTAGCATTTAGGTAGACAATACCAGTGTTGAGGAATATACATGTTTTTACTTCTATCTTTGGAATCATATGCCTTTTATTTCTTTTTCTTGCTTTGTCACAATGGCTGGACCATCAGTGAAAAGATGAGAGAGTACATCATTGTTATTTATTCCTGACCAGAGGGGGCATTGAATCTTTTTACCATTGAATATTTGTAGTTCTGTAATTTTCATAAATTCCCTTTATTAGCTTGACAACTTTTTTTTCTTTCTTTGGCAGTACTAGAGTTTGAACTCAGGTCTTGCCTTTTTTGGTCTACTTTTTTGTTCATAGTTGGTGCTCTACCACTTGAGTCAATCCTCCAGCTTAGCATTTTTCTGGGTAATTGACATAAGACTCCCTAAGACTTTCCTGCTGGTAGTGGCTTTGAACCTCAATCCTCAGATTTCAGCTTCTGAGTAGCTAGTATAACACTGGCACCTGATAGATTCTTTTTGTTTTCTAGAACTAGTTTGCTGAGCGTTGTTTGTTTAATTGTCTTTAAATCAATAATGGATTTTGGATTTTGTCAAATAATTGCCTGATAGCTATTGAAATGACTATATCATTTTAATCTGCTTAATATGATGAATTTAATTTTCATATATTAAACTGATCTTGCTTTCCTGAGATAAACTCCAACTGGCAAAAATATATTATCCCTTTTACATATTGGTTTAATTTCTTCAAATGTCTTCATCTGATTTGAGTAATAATGCAATACTCAAAGAATGAATTACAAAATAAAGAATTTCTTTCTCTTCAGGTTTCTGAAATTATTTTATGGAATCACATTATTTTTTTGACTTTTTTTTCATAGAATTTTCCAGGGAAGCCCTTCAGGCATGGAGTACCCTGAGTAGAAAGATAGTTATTTAAACTACAAACTAGATGTCTTTAATTAATACAGAGTGTCCAGGTTGTCCATTTCTACTTGGACGAGATTCATTAGTTGGTATGTGTTCAGAAAATTGCTGTTTTTGTCTAAGCTATCAAATCTCATGGTTTGAAGTTCATTATCCCTTTGCTGTGCTGTTGCTTTGTTCCTTTTGGTAAAGTGTGTGTGTATTTTCTGTCTGTTTGTCTCTCTGTCTGTTTCTCTCTCTCTTTTTCACTCTTATTCTTTTCTTGTTAGCCTGACTAGATGACTGTGAATTTTATTAATCTCCCCCACAGAACTAGGTTTGGGTCTAATTCTTTCTATTATTTTTCTTTTCTTTTTGTCACTGATTTCTACTTTAGTCTTTCTTCTTATGTTATTATTCTTAGGGTTTAATTTGCTCTTCTTTTTCTAGTTTGTTACAATAAAGTAAGAAGTTAGAGTCTGTTTATTGATTTGAGTACTTCATATAAGAGAAGTAGAAAGTACTGTAAGTTTCTAAGTACAACGTTTGCTACCTAAGTTTTAGTATACTATGTTTTTATTTTCAGTCCATCCAGAATACCATTTTTGTCCTTTGGTTTCTTCCTATAGGTATATATGACTGAGTTTCCAAATATATATGTTTTCTTTCTTATCATCATTTTTTAAAATGTATTTTTGGTACCTAAAAACATAAAAATTATATGTACTAATGGGGTAAAATATGATGTTTATATGCATGCTGTATAATGTTACAGTCAGTTGTAACCTATCAATCCCCTCATCTGTTCTTAATTTCTTCATTTCACAACAGAATACAGTTTATGTGACTATGATCTTTTCTTTTCTTTTCTTTTCTTTTGGTCATGGGGCTTGAACTCTGGGCTTGGGCACTGTCCTTGTGCTCTT